AGATAGAAGAAAGGAAGGGAGAAAAGAAATTATTATAAGGTTTCTAGTATATGCTTAAAATGTTTTCCATTTATGTGAGAATTTTATTTTCTTTAACTTATCTCAATTGCTTTAATGATAAAAAAGATTAAAGAAAATTTGGATGATGAAATTTTTCATGAAAGAAAAAGAAATAAGATAAAAAAGAAGAAAATAAAAAAATAAAAGTATATTTACATTAATTTGTTTGAGAAAAGAAAAATCTGAAAGTGTAAATATTTGGAAATAAATTAGAATTTTTATCTATGCCATTTTAGGAAAAAAGGCTCAAGAGAAATGATAAAATTTCTTTCATTTTAGACTATATGCATAATATAAGAGAAAAATACAAAGATTCTGTGAAAAGATTGTTAAAAGTACATGTACTCTGTTTAGTTTGAAAATCACTTTCTTACTTCCCTAAGGTTTGATAGAACCTTACGAGTGCTCTACCAGAGGAGGTTCATTTGAGGTTTGTTGGAGTAATACTGTATACATTTTACTACTATAATAAAAATTTAGTAATATGATGACAAAATGTGAAACTAATGAAAAAGATTTTAAAATGATGTTTTTTATTACACAATTATTAGAGGGTGAAAAGCTATTTAGAGGGTAAGTAAAGTTAACTCAAAAAGCTCTACTTGGATGCGATGAAGGCCACACAAGAACATTACCTTGGGAGAAAAAATTTTGTTACACTGTTTGTTGATGGAATTTTTCCAGATTGTAGTCTCTTTAATGTCAAGCACCGTTTTGTCAGATGTGGGAGGGTGATTGATTTTTACGTCCCCAAAAATCAAAAGAGAGCCAAGAACGTCTTAGTTGGTTTTGTCCATTATCTTGATCTACGGGATGCATCGAGGGCTATCAAATTTCTAACTGGTTTGCACCTGAGGTATTCCACTCTACATTTTCAAACGGTAAGGTATGATCAAAGGTCTCAAGTTAATTCTAGTTCTGTCAAATCCACTCAGTTAAAGGATAACATTGTATCAGATGGTCAACAAGAAGAGGTTTTAAAATCGCTTGACATACTTAATTACGTTCCTGAAAATTTAGATTTGGAGAGATTACAACGGAATGCTGTTGGGATGGTTAGATATCCTGATACTATAAAAGCCACTAACCAAATCTTGTCGGAGGACTTTGATGATTGTTCTGTCACTATCATGGTTGAGAATATGAATCTTTTGACTTTTGAAAGCGGAGAAAGTATGTTATTATCTCTGGAACTTGGTCAGGAGTGGTCTCAAAATTGGTTCACGTCTATTACTCCATGGAAGCCTAGCTACATATGCCATTCAGACCTTATTTGGTTGAGATTGTCAGGTATTCCACTTCACGCTTAGAATTCCAAGTGTTTCTCTTCCATTGGAAGTTTATGGGGTGAGCTTATTAAGCTGGATGATTTTACACAAATGAAAAAAATGTTTAGATGTAGATAGAGTCCTGATTTTAACAAATGATTATAGAGCCATTCATGATGAGATTAAGGTCACTGTGGGTGATAATGTTTACTCCATTAAAGTGGTTGAACACGGACACTCTCTTGACAGTTCGACTAGTTCTCACAGATCAGACCAGGACAACTCAGTGTTCATAGATGGTGGTGAAGATGCTTTCTCTCCTCTCGGTAAGGACTCCCTGAGTAACTCAAAATTTGAAAATGATGCTGATTTTGTGGCTTTGGATGAAGATAACACTGTTATTGCAACTGTTAATACACCTAGAGATTCTAAAGAAGCACATGATGCCGATCTTGGAAATGAGATAAACTTGGAACAAGAGGAGTTAAATGTTGTTTCTGAACATATATCCAATATTTGTTCTTGAAAACAGATTAATTATGGAGCATGCGGAGTTAAATACAGGTGTTGCAATTAATTCTTCTTTAGAACCTCTTTTGAATCCCGATAAAACAGAACAATGAAAGTCTAAATTGAATCATGTGGTTGAATCTAGAGGATCAAGATATTAATACTTCTACATCTCTTGGGATATCAAATGGCCCATCAGATGCGCTTAGGGATTCAATTGGTGGAAGTATCTTAACTGATCTTCAGTCAAATCCAGTTTCTATTAAGCTTATGACCAAGAGTAATATAGACGCTGAGAAACTTTTCGACGTTGAAGATAAATTTCACCTTGTTACTATTCAAGCAGGTAAAAGAAGGAAAAAAAGACTATTCAAGCAGGTAAAAGAAGGAAAAAAAGTAAGGCAAAATATTGGAAAGATCCAAAAGCAAGTCTCGCCAGATAAAGACACCTCTAGTTTCCATTGTTCAAGACCACTTTCGGATGAAGATATTGGTTTTGCAAATAGAGCTTTTCTAGAAGAGGCTGGGAAGATTTGGATGATGTGATGATATCTTCATTTTAGATGGAAGTCTTTCATTAGAATTGTGCTAGATGGTTTTTTTGTTGTTTCTGGTATGGCTTTAACTATGTTTCTTGGTAAGATTCTTGTATTTCACTTATGATGGTCTTTTGATCTCTAATAAAAATACGGCTTAGCAAAAACAATTACATAACTATTGCTTTTTATTTCGCAAAAGAACAGTTAAATTCTCTAATTTGACAACAAAAAAGGGTAAAAGTAGCACTTATTTTTATTGCATATAATAAAAAAAAAAGCATATAATTTATAATTATTATAGTATAATTAATTAATTATAATTTAAAATTGTGTGAGATTTATCAAAATTTTATATGTAACCCATATTTATAAATGATGATCCCTATATAATATTTTATTATGATTAGCAAATAATTATAATATTATAGTAAAAAAATTATAACTGAAATGCTCCAAATAAAAAGTTAGATAACTTTCGACAATCTATACATTATATTAGAACAATCCTGTGATAAAAGCAAGATAGTTGGGGACGAATTGAAAATTGACACGTGGTTGGATAAGTGAAGAATGGTTATCTTTTAATTTTGAATGTTGATCTTTTTTAAGAACAGAGTACAACTAAGAAAATCATTAATACTATATTTTAAAACAATGGTTTTTGTTAAATATAATTAATCATAAGTTTGGTCCACAATTATCATATAAACTTTACTCATTTGTCTTAAGAGAATGGGTTGAGTAAAAAATAATATAGGCTAAGTAAACGTATGAGCCTTAATTTTTGTATTAAAAGAGTGGACTTAATATATAATGTTACAATAATTTTAATCTAATTTTAATTTCCATATTTAAATTTATTATTTATATGTAATATAATAATGCTCAAATTAAAATTACCTTATCCATTCAATAAAAATTTTATATTTTAGAAGATTTAAATTTAATATTTTATTATAATATCACATCTTGTTAATAAATAATAAAATTATATTAATTTTAATACAATATTACATGTTGTTAATAAATAATAAATTTAGAAAAACTATAAAATGAATTGATCTAATGTCTTTAGGTAATAATAGAAATTACAAAATGGATCAGTTACAATTTAGTGAAACTTTAAATCGGTGTTAAAAGAAAAATATTTGAGGGAATAAACGCTAAAAGGTTTTTAATTTGGTTTTATTGACATGGAAAGACTCTTTCTTTCCTACTTCAAATTAAATAATCATTACAATATAGGTTTTAATTATAATTTTTTATGCAAGTTTCTATTTTAGAATACACGTTTTTACGTGTACTTTATTATATCATATTTTCATTTCTAGAATCTCTATCTCTTTCTACTTCTTATTTTTCTTTATTTCATTTTTTTTCTTCTTGTTATTCAGGTTTTTTATGTTTTTAGTTTTTCAAGTTTCAAATTTTTTAGCTTACTTTTTATCATCTATATATAAAATTAAACAAATATACACATACTACATCATCTTTTACTGTTTTCAATTTACAAAATATTAAAATACAACATTCATTTTAATTCCATGCAGTGGGAAAAAAATGGATAATTAACAAATAGCTCCATTGATAAATTCTTTGCTCCCATTAAATTTTATTGTACGTGACTAGCATATTTCATTATTTTAACAACTTATTAAGAGCTAATCAAATATATTCATATGAATCTTGTATGATTACAGTATATACCTATAGAATCTGAATATTAATGTTTTTTATAACTTTGTTACGATGAAAATCAAATATATTCATTTGAATCTTATTTAGTTATCCCTTATAATGAAAATTTGAATTTCACAATCCTTTTTATATACACTTAACAGTTTTAATCAATTTAATGATATCTATATGATTTAATTTTTATAAAAAATTTCACATATAGCGAATAAAACTACCCCATGCGGATGCACACTATTAATAAATATAAAAGTAATAAAATACATTGTTAAATTTTTTATTGCACAAAATATAAATTTTAAATATTTTCAGATAAATAAATATAAAAATATAAAATGTAATAATACTACTTTAAGTTGGATGTAACAATAAATTAAGTCGGTATTAAATTAATATGGGAGTAACAAAGTACGTTAATATTACTTTTTATTACATTATAAAACAAATCAAATAATTTTATCATATATAATTGCAATGGGATAATAAATAATAGCCATATTACATCACAAATTTTGGGTACCTATCCTTTTCCACATTGGCCAACTTTGTAGACTTAGCTAGTGGTGCGCATCCTAGTTAGGGGCATGATTCCATCATAAAATTTTTTTAAAAAAATTAAAAATATTTTCCAAAAGATGGAAATTTCCATTTTTAGGTTTGGTTTTCAAATTCTTTTGAGTCTTTGTTTTGCTCTTCCCCAATTTAATTGGAAACAGTATTTGATTTTAATAAGATAAAAAAAAGTTTGAAAAAAACATTCTCAAGCCTTTCAATGACACTTCATTTTTTTAACAGTTTTCATAATTTAATGATTATTTGTTTTATAATCCTAAACTAAACTTTTTTTGAAACTAAAGTAAATAATTTTAAATATAAAAGTAATGAAATGTTTATGATGAAATTACCTGATAGACTATTGTTTTCGAGACTAATTTCTTTCAAAGAAGAAATGTTGAAGATGGAATGTGGAATCAACCCACTTAACCGCATAAGATGATGCACCTAATTTCTCCAATGAAATAAGATTCCCAATCTCCCATGGAATTTCACCTACAAAGGAACAACAACTTAGTATTATAAAACTATCCACTTTCTAAACATTCCAATAATATTGAGGTTATTTAAAATGCAATAAAGGTCAATTACACAATAAATTCTTAATTTCTTTGATGTTTAAAATATGAAGGAATAATTAATTTTTTTCAATACCAAAAGTTTTAATCAAAATGAGAAAAGCAAAAAAGAAAATCAAAATGTGACTATTTTTGTGTTGGCCATTCTATTAATTTTTATTTTTTAGTTATTTCTTTTTATTCTTTTTTTTTAATATGAATAGTAAAAAATATCAATTAATTGAAATCTAAATAATCAAATGTAAAAGCTTACCTTCTATATCATTATAACTTAGATATATCTCCTCAAGTTTGGTTAAATTTCCTATACTTCTTGGAATGAATCTATTGAATCGATTAAAAGATACTGATAAATTTCAGAAATTGCTACAGTCACCAATATTTGATGAAATACAATCAGAAAATTCATTGTAGGATATATGAAGCAAGTTTGAAAAGAGAGTAACACATATTATCAGGAATACTGCCTGAGAGATTATTGCTATTGAGATAAATTGCTTTGAAAGAAGTAAGGTTAAAGATGGAAGCTGGTATTGGACCAACTAGCCTCATATTTCCGACATAAAATATCTCCAAGCTTAGAAGATTTCCAACTTCCCAAGGGATTTCACCAGTGAACATAAATAAAAAACAATTTGCAAGAGCTCGATCAAGCGGCAGAAATTATTTTTTCTTGGCATTACGATTCATAATGAAACCATTTCCTCCAAATTTTATGATATTATTGATTAAATTAATTAATTAAATTCTCATTCTAAACATTATTTCAAAAGAAGTTAAATACCAAAATTTTGAGAAATAAAACCGGAAAACAGAAAAGAAATCAAAGTTCATTTGCTTGATATTTTTAATATTATTGGACTTTTAGTTTCTATTATTTTTTGGGTAAAATATACCAATCATGTATAATTTTTGTGCAATATTTCATTTCCTTTATAATTTTAAAACGTCCTTTTTAGATCCATAACCTCACAAAAGTATTTCAAATTCAACCCAAAAATCAGATAGGTTTACCCTTTTTGCCATGCGAACATTCAAATGGATATCTTGTGGCACCATGATGGTAAATTTCGTCCTATTTAAAACAATTTTAAGAGATTGTAGATTCAAAATTTGAGTTTTAATGAAAATGAAATATTATATATACAAAAATCATGAATATATGATGTAATTTACTCTATTTTAGTTTTTTTTTTTTACTTTTTTCTATTACTTTTCGCAAAAACAAAAACAAATAGGAATAAAAAAAATATATTATGATCAAACAGAGCCTAAATAATAAAATGTCCAAGAGATACCTTTTGGTTTATAAAATTACTTATACCATTTGGATTATTTCCGTTGAATCAAATTGGAACCCAAGTTCCTACAACTATCACTAGAAAATCCCACCGCAACTAGACAATCAAGCCTGATCTTGGTCATTAATGCAAAAAGTTTAGTTCAGTACAAAAGTAATAATTAATTAAAAGATATTTTAATTTATGTTAATAGTTTAATATATGATTCTACTTTTATATAGAATAATAATAAATTACATTTTGAATGCTTATTTTATTTATTTCTCATTTTTTAATTAAATTAGGTGGATGCCCTCGCTTTCTCTCGAGTTAACATTTTTTGTTTTATCATTTCTATTGACCAAATTTTTTTAAAAAATGTTACCTAATTTTAAACAAAACAAAAAATGATAAAAGGTAAAAAAATCCAAATGAGAGTAATATATATATATATATATATATATAAAAATTAATCTCTTATTCTCATAAAATATATTTTATAAAAAATAAATTTTTATTTTTTTAGTGCAAAACTCACTTAATATCAAGCTTTCAATAAAAAACTAGTGAATACATATATATATATATATAATTAAATAGATAATAAAATATAATTTTATAAATATTATAGGATGACTTGGGGTAAAATATCTTAAATTCAATTTTGACCTGTTTCCTATTTTTATAAAAAAATTTGATTCAAATTTATTTAATATTGATTTTTTTATAAAAATGCACATATTGAATCGAGATGGATAAAAAAAAAATAGAGATTGATTATTTTGCATTTCTTATCAATTAAAGAAAAAAAGGAAAAAAAACAAACATGTGGTGTACTCCCGATATCAGGTGGTTCCCACATAAAAAATATTAATTAAAATTTTTTGAAAAAATAAAATGGTAAAAAATGCCAAAGAGGAAAAAAAATCTTGGTATAAAGTGGGTGTCACCTTTAAAAAATTTAAATCTTTTAAAAATAGTTATTAAATATTAAAAAAATAAAAAAAAGGAAAAACAAAAATGTAAAAAAAAAGGAGAAATTTAAATCTTTAAAAAATAATTATTAAGTATTTTAAAAAAATAAGGAGTACCACCCGAACCTCTGGGATGGTCAAGTTTTGGTAAAAATAACCAATATTAAATATAAACAGATAGATATGTTTTAGTTTTTACTATTTTCTTTTGTGTGCATTGTTAAGAGTCTTGGTCAAAGTCAAGCTATATTCAGTAGCATAACTTAGGGAGTTTTAGTTTGAACGATATTTCACTATATAATTAGTTCAACAAAATTAGAGACAATTTAAATATTTTGCATTACAATTTAAGAACGAACTATTTTGATAAAAGAAAATTATCAAACGAAAAAATAAAAAGGTGTTACCTTCCAAATTATTTCGACTCAAGTATAGCATTTTGAGCCTTGTTAAATTTCCAATACTCCCTGGAATGCTGCCACTGAATCTATTGAAGCTTAATGATAAATTTTGAAGACTCCTGCATTCATCTATGCTTGATGGAATTTGACCAAAAAACTCATTTGAGGCCACGTAAAGTACCTCAAGATTGGGAAGATGACGACATATATCTTCAGGTAAACTACCAGATAGATTGTTGGATGCAAGAGAAATCATATTTAGGGAGGACATGTTATAAATGACCGAAGGTATGGAGCCAGAAAGTTGATTAGCTGCCAGACGAAGTATCCTTAGATTCCTAAGATCACTTATCTCGGGTGAAATGTGCCCTTGAACAAGATTGTACCTCAAGTCCAAGATTTCCAAGTTGGACATTTTAGCTAGTGATTGAGGGATTGTACCTGTCAAATTGTTGCTCAGGAGACTCAAGTATAAAACTTTTTTTAATTTCCCAAACCATGAGGGGATTTCTCCACTAAGAAAGTTGAAGCTTAATTTGATCAGTTTCAGACGACTCAATTGCTCCAACTCCCTCGGTAAGTGGCCATGGAAATTGTTGTGACTCAAATCAAGAGATACCAAGAATGAGAGATTTCCCAATTGTGGAGGGACACTTCCTGCAAGATCCATGTTGGGAAGATTCAAAGCGCTGACTCTCCTATGCTTAGAAGCGCAAGAGACACCAACCCAATTGCAAACAGAGGTAGTGGTGGTCCAATTATTGGCTAAGATGTTGTGAGGATCAATGATTCGGTGCTGAAATTCGAAAAGAGCATGTTGGTCTGTAGTGAGGTTCCTCACAATCATGGCGTAGCTAACCATGAAACAATGAATGAACATTAAAGCTAGCGAAAGAAAACGGAATATTCTCATGTTCATGGCTGTGGAGGGAAAGCAAATCGATGAGATTGCAGGATAGTTACGGAACTCTGATCAAAGCAATTCTTAAATAGGAATCAACTCGCCAATATGAGTTAGACTTCATGAGGACAGTCCTGGGATGGTCTTGGTCTTCACAATTAATAAATGATTCAAGCTTTTGATTTTGGGCCCTCTAATTTTCTTTTGACCTCCTTCTACAAGCATCGGTGAAACTAATTTATCTTTTTGCATTCTTTTTTTTTTCTCCCTCTCTCTTTACTTTTAATTTTTTGTCTTGTACACTTTTTGAGGCCCCATGACTCCACGTTTTACACGAGAGATTTGCAAAATAGTCATGGCTCTATCTTTTTTTGTAAAAAAAGAAAAAAGGAATTTATAATATTCTTAAAACTTCTAAGTTAGTTATTGTCAGAAATCAAAGTAATTTCAGTTTAATTAGTAAAATTACTTAAAAATCAAAATGAAATAATAATAAAATATATAAGTAAAGATATTTATGTTTTTATTTAAAAGCTTAAGGTGAAAGAAAGCTTTCTTATTTCAAGATTATAACAAACTACAGGCCTCAAGGAAGATTTATATTAGATTTGCATATTGTCCACCAAGAGAACCGTTGGCATAAATATCAATCAAAAAAGTCAAAAGGATTTTTAATTTAATTCAAGGTGGGTTTATAAATATTTAATAAAATTCTTTCGCATTTTCATTTTACCCTTCAAACAATTCATAAAATTATAAGAAAAAACTATATATTTTTCACATTTAGCTTTTTAATTCAATTCAAAATTTCTCTTGATTTCATTTATTTCAAATTTATCCATTAATTTCATCTATAACTTTAAAAATCAATGAAATTTGCTACCTTGATATCATTTAACTGTTGGCAAAAATATCAATCAAAAAAGTCAAAAGGATTTTTTTTCCCATATGAACATTGTTTAGGCTCACTTTTTTTTACTACAATATTTTTTAATAACTAAACAAATTCAAATAAGGATATAGGGATTTTGAAACATATGGAGTGTTAGTTTCAATTCAACCCTAATACAAGTTTATGATAGTACCACAAATCAAAGCCGTGATTGGCGTAATCCAAAACTGTTAAAGCAATTCTTTCTCCATGAGAGAGACAGAAGAAGAATAAATTATAAATCTAGTGGGTCGAAAAGTGCATAACGATGAAACTTTTTAATTCATCAAAGCAGCTAACATAAAAGCAGATGAAGGAATCTAGTAAAAAATGCTAACGAACGTGTTCTAAGTGCTAGGCTTTGGATCAACTCCAGTCATCATGCTTTCCACAAACATGAAAGCAGACTATAAAATTTCAAGTCAGGAAAGCTAATAATCGTTTTCTAAACGCAAGGATCAATAAAGTGATCTTGATTTCACACACGTCAAAGCAGACTACGAAATTTTAGATGAAGAATTAAAGCTACCAAATGCCCATCAATCGGTCTTCTCGCTTTTCTCCAGCGTCAAAGCAAATTATTCTGTTATCATACATTAGATAGGTAATTAAATAGTTGAGGTTGTGTTTAAAAGCTTCTAATTTTTAATAATTTTTTTATTAAGGTAAGGCAAATTAAAATCTTTATTATAAAAAAGATAGTACTTTTAATTTTTTTTCTTTGAAAGATAGTACTTATTATCTTTATTATGGATCAAGGTACTGTTTTTCATTAATTAATAAGTTATTTGTTCTAAGATCTTAAACAATCAAATTATACAAAATTAAGATTCAATTTGCATAATAAAAAAAAATCTCACAAGTCTTTCTTAGAAAATTTCAAGAGTACTACTCATAAAAATTAACAAATTATTAGGATGTAGAGGGTATATTTAAATTGTGAACATGTGTCACCAATATATCTATTTGTAGCTAATTTTTTAATTTAAGATAGATCATCAGTTTGTAGAAATTTTTACAAAGGTAATAATAATAATGTTGTTGGAATATAATAAAATTTCAAATTTATTTTTAAGCAACATTGCGAATATATATTACTAATATTAAAATGGTTGACTGAATTGATGTTTTGAGTTAAACAGACACCCACTCAGTTGGTAAATTTATTTAAAATACAAACTTAAATTACAATAATAATATAAATTTAGGAATATTTATCTATTTATATTTTAAAATTAAAATAAACTTTTTTATAATCATTTCAAAAAAACAACTCACGAAAAAAGTAACTTCCTTTTAAAAAATATATTTTTATTTTTAATTAATAATTTTTCACACATGGGGGGTGTGTCAAAATCTAGTACATTTATAAAATTTTTGGTTGAATTTGACACTGCGAGACAATTGACACCAACTTAGTGGTTTGGGCTAATTACAAAACACAAAAAAATTGAAATGCTTATTTTGATTCTTTTTTCTTAATAACAATTTCAGTGAGTTATTTCTAATTTTTTGTAAGTAAATGTTTTAATGAGTTATTTTTATTTTTTTCTCATTCACATTTTTAAAAATCATATATATATGTATATATATTAATCTTCGGTTAAATATAAACATTACCATTGAACTATGTACTTTTTCTTAGTCTGGTACTTAAAAAAATAAAATTATTAGATTTGCACTTGAATTTTATTCCGTTATTGCGTTGGTACATGAAGCTAATGCCATTAATGAACTTCGCCTATATCATATTATCATCCAATAAGAGACTGACATGCATAAAAAAAAAGTCCAGTAAGTACCAATCATCAATGCTATGTTAGCATAAAAATATTCAAAAATATTTTTAAAATTTATTTTAAATTCTAAAGACTTTTAAAAATCTTTAAAAAAAATTTTTAAAATTTTTAAATTTCAAAATAATTTTTAAAAATTCTGAAAATTTCTAAAAAATTAGAAAAATTTTGAAAAATTTTAAAATCTTTAAAAATTGAAATTTTTTTTTAAAATTCGAAACAATTCTAAAAAATTCTGAAATTTTTTGAAATTTCTAAAAAATTGTTTAAATATTCTAAAATTTATAAAAAATTAAAAATACAAAATATTTTTAAAAATTATAAAAATTATGATAATTTTAATATTTAAAAAAATTCTTGAAAATTTAATACAAAATCCAAAAAATACAATGACAATTTTATTAAATATTAAATTTTCTTAAAATGGAAAATAATCACAAAAACTTCAAAAACTTAAAATTAAAAAAGTCTGAAATTTAAAAAATAATTCTAAAATTTTTGGAAAGCTAAATAATTTTTTGAAACATTGTAAAAAGTTAAAAAATTCTGAAAAGTAAAAAATTTAAAATTTTAATAAAAATGCTAAAACATTACAAATTTTTTTGAAAAATTCAACAAATATCTAAAAAATTAAAATTGTAAGATATAAAAAATATGAAAAATTTTCAAAATTCTAAAAAAATTTTTACAATTTTTAAAAATTTTTATTTTAAAAAAAATTAGATTTTTTTTACTTTAACTATTTTTTATTTTTATATTATTTTGAATTTTAAGAAAATTTTATTTTTTTATGAAAAACTTCTGTTTTTTTAATGTTTTGAAATTTTTTTGAAAATTTTTGGATTGTTTTAGAATTTTTATATTTTTTAAAAAATTTTAATTTTCCTTAATTTTTTGAAATTTTAAAAAAATTTTAAAATTTTTATAATTTTTAAAAAATTTTAGAATGTTTTAGAAAATTTCTTTTAATGATGATATAGAACTGAGTGCAGTTTTTGACATATGTTACCATCTTATTATATGTTAATGACACGTTATTAAAATTGACTAATAGCATTAGTCCGAAGTACTAACGTAATAATTAAATGAAAGTTCAGATGCTAATTTAATAGTTTTATTTCTTTAGATACCAAATTAGCAAAAAAAATGTATACTTCAAGGACTATTTTTATATTTAACTCTTAATTTTTTTAGCTTTAAAGTTATTTATTATTCCTCACACATTTTGCAAAAACATTTCCCATAAGATATTTAACATTTGGTAAAGAAATGTAACTTTTTACCAATGTACAAATATAATTTTTATCGTTGGACAAACTTAAATTATCATTTTGTTGTATTTTATATATCATTTCACTTTGATGAATAAATATAATTATTTGAAATTTCTGACTCTACTGCTTATCAAAGCCGTGATTGTTGTAATCCAAAATGATCCCACCGTGCGAGCAATTCTTACGATGAAACTTTTTAATTGACAAATGATTGGTGAATTAAATGCAAAATGATTGGTGTTTCAAATGCAAGCGAGATATCACGCTTAATTTCCGCAAACATCAAGCCAAACTAAGAAATTTTAGAAACCGTTTTCTAAACGCAAGGATGAATCAAGTGGTCTTAGTTTCACATAGGTCAAAGCATGGTAATAAATTTTAAGTAAAGAAAACTACCAAATGCAAGAATCAATCAAAGTCTTCTTATTCTTATCATACCTTAGATAGGTAATTAAATAGTTGAGGTTAATTGGGTGTAAAAGTTTCTAATTTCTAATTTGTTTTTTCTTAAGGTAAGAAAAATTAAAATCTTAAAAAAACAAAGTTACACTAGCATATGTCTTAGCATAATTAAATGCACTTTTAATGTAAGAAATTTTTTTTTTTGGTTATTTGACAGTTCTCTAAATAATACAGTTTTTTTTTTAAAATAGTAATATTAATATGATAAGGGATTTATTTATACTAATGTAACTTTTTCACTTTTTTACTCTTGGATTAAAATTAAATCCATGATTCATTTGAATTAAAATAATATTTTTAAATTTAGTAATTTTAATCTAAAATTTCAAAAAAGTATAAGAGTTACACTAGTACAAATGGATCACTCTTCATATTGACATAGCTATTAAAATATTAAAATATTTATTATTGAAATATTAAAATATTAATTTTAGTTATTTTATAATAATATTTAATATTAAATACTTGAAAAATAGTATTTATTGTTAAAATGTTATTTATGTTAATAATTTATAACATTTAAAATATCATTATTATTATCATTATTAAAGTATTATTTCATTAAAATTAAAAAATTAAAAAAGCATATTTATTATTAAAATATTAAAAATAATATTTATTATTAAATCATAAAAAGTATTATTTATTTTTATTATTAAAATTGTAATATAAAAATCGATGAAACCTTAGCTTACCACTACTCTTAAAGTCTTAGGTTTAAGTTCCACTATGTGTAGGTTTGGTGATTGTCTAGTTAGATTCTAATTTGTTTTAGTTTGTTGATTGATTATGATTGTAAATTATTTTATGTTTGTAATTTTAAAAAACAATTATGATATAAAAACATTTGTCATTAAGATATTAACTGTACAATATATTTTAAATTTAAAAATACAAAGTTTAACTAAGTTAGAACATGCATGGACAGAGAAATTTGAAGCAGCAACTGGTTTTTTAGCAGTGAGAGGATGAATTTAATTTTCCTTGCAGAGAAAAAAAGGTTTAGTCGTGGAAAGAAAGATATATAGAAAAAAGGGGTCAGAGAACCGAGAGAAAAAAAATAGGAACATACTTATATTTTTATAAATATAAAAATCCTAACCTAATAAACATAAAATTTCTATAATAACTCTATTTCAATAACCCTTTTTTTATAGAAAGCTCCAATCAAGCGAAACTAACATCCTAGATATGTCAACTTACTAATTTCTTTTGTTACAATTGCTTGAATACATAAGCATCAATCATCCATGAGTTTTATATAATATTTTACTTTTATTTGTGACTTCTAAAACTTATTTTTAGATCCGTCAATTTAAAACTCAATGGGAGTAAAATATTTCAAATCCATCCTTTAATTTCATTAACAACCATAAAAATCATTGAAATTTGCTACCTTAGTAACACGTAGCTTCCACATAACATAAATCTCAATTCAAAAAGTCAAAGAGATTCAAAATTTTTTTTACCATATGGACATTGTTCAGGCTCATTATTTCATATATTTATTGTCAATTACTTAAGGGAAAGATTATATACGTATAACATCTACACAAGTTTCATATACATATGACAATATAAGGATTGAATTGAAAATATAAAACTCGAAGCATGCATATATGTATAATTTATGTGTATGAAATATGTGTATGTAGTATTCCTAGGGATGTCAATCTTACCCATACTCAATGAGAAACTTGATTTTTTTATTTGAATGGGAATAAGGATAGGTATTACATTGTAAGTATGGAGATTAGTATGATTTTAAATTTTTATTTAATACGAGATAGGGGGATAGGTACTATAGCACCTCCTCATACTTGTACCTTACATATATATTTAATATATAGATATTTAATTAAATAATATAAATGATTATTTTTTATTAATTAAAATTAATATATTTTTATTGAAAAAACTATTAATATATATTTATAAAAAATTACTTAAATATACAAGATAAAAATAAAAAAAAATTTGTTTTCTGTTTTTTTTAAGCTATGAGTATTGGGATTATCCATACTCATTAAACACCTGTGTAGATGGGGATATGGATAAATATAAAATATTTGTTGAGTATAAATATAGGAAAAAGTATAATATAAAAATCTAAAAATGAAAATAAGGAATTTTCTACCCTGCTCATACTTTACTCATTAATATTTTTAGTATTTCTCATTGGTTAATTTATTGTCTTCGGTAATTATTTTAAATTCATATCTATACTCATTTTCGTTCTTGAAATTTGGTACTCATATTCATCTCTTTTGAGCAAAAAATTAAACTTTTTGTTAAATATGAATAAAAGTGATATTTTTAATTTCAAGTGCAAGCAAGAATCAATCAAGTCTATCTTATTTTCCACAAACATAAAAGCAAAGAAAGAAATATTAAAATAAGAAAAACTAGCAACCGTGTTTCAAGTGCAAGGATCAATCATGTCATCTTGCTTTCCACATATCAAAGCATATTTTAAGTCAAGAAAGACGTGTTCTAAGTGCATGGATAATCCAGTCATCCTGCTTTGATGTTTACCTGCTTTTCACAAACATCAAAGTAGACTAAGAAATTTTAAGTCGTGAAAGCTAACGACTGCTTTCTAAACGTTAAGATCAATCAAGTCACCTCTTTTTCCACAAACATAAAAGTAGAGAAAGAAATATTAAAATAATAAATACCAGCAACCGTGTTTCAAGTGCAAGAATCAATTATGTCATCTTGCTTTCAACAAACTTATCAAAGCATATTTTAAGTCAAGATAGCTATCGAACGTGTTCTAAGTGGATGGATAATCCGTTCATCCTGCTTTTCACAAACGTCAAAACAGACTGAGAAATTTCAAGTCAAGAAAGCTATCGTGATCTCAGTGCAAGGATAATCAAATCATCCTGCCTTTTACAAACATCGAAGCTGACTAAGAAATTTTAAGTCAAGAAAACTGACCACCGTTTTCTAAACGCAACGATCAATCAAGTGATCTTGGTTTTACACACATCAAAGCAGACCATTCTATTGTCGTACCCTAGATAGATAATTAAATTTTTGAGGTTGGGTGTAAAAGCTTTTCATTTCTAATGAGTATTTTTTTTTTAAGAAAAAACAAATTAAAATCTTTATTATCAATATGGCAGATGAGTTCATTTTTATTTTTTTAATGTATTTAATTTAATGATTTAATTTTATTATTTTAAAAAATTAATATTAGTGTTAATTTTTGGAAACTTTTAACCAAAAAAGTTATGAAAATTAGAAGAAGAGAAAAAGATATCTATTGCCAAGTTGACAATTTGCCGTGTAAACACTGCCATAATGCTTGTAGAGAAAAAAGGTTTAATTACATTACATGATGCTCCCAGAACTTAAAATACCTGTTTTGAAGAAATAAAATGGAACTACACCTATTAAAGAATAAAACTTTTATGCACTGCACGTAGGAAAAGAAAAAGAAAAATAGTCAACTTCTAATTAGTAATTTTTTAGTGATTTTAAGTAAAAGGAAAAGTGCCTACACCAAAAGAAAAAGGGTTATTAACAATTGAAACCAAATGAACCCAAACTAAAGTTCACACGGATGAATTAAAATGTTTAGACAGATTTTTATTTAATTTTTTGTGTATTAATTTAATATAATTTTTGCAGGCATAATTAGAGTCACTAATATGAAAGTATAATGGGTTTTGATAATAAATAAAATTCATAAATAGCAAAAATTATTTTTATATACATAAAAATAAATATGATATCATATTACTTAAGGAATATGATATCATATGTGTAGTAATTAAATATGATATCATGTTACTTAAGGAAAAGATTATATACACGTAACATCTGCACAAATTTCATATAGGCATGAGAATTTAAGAATTAAATTAAAAAGAATAAATTTGAAAGAAAAAAAATGCATATGTGTACAATTTATTTGCATGAAATATGTGTAAATGGCACTCCCAATTTGAAAATATTTTCAAAATATGAAAATATGATTATGTAAATAACTTAATCAAAAATAAATTAAGTTAATTAATAACTTAAGGTATGGTTCCTAAGATAAAAAAATATATACTTAAAATAATCATGTTAAAAGGACTATATATGTAAGCAATTGATTGCCATGCTCAGGAGAGTCCATTGCCTTATACTTTTAGGAAAAGCAGTTGATTGCCAAGGGCATTGTAAACATCGAATTTTGTTCGGGTCTATTGATGCTTTAAATAACGTTTTTTGTTTCTATTTATCAATATTAAACTATTAATAATAATGGAAAAGTATTGATAATAAACTATTAATATTAGTTTAATACCAAAAAATACAAAAAAAGAAGAAAAAAAAATAAAAAAAAGGAAAATAGAAAAGTGACATAAAGTAGGGCAGCTGATGCCTGGCACCAGCCACCTTACAGCCACCTCCAACCATCCTTACCGCCACCCTTCAGCTTACCCTGGCCAGAGCACTGCAGCCATCCCTACAACCACCCCCTACAGCCCTTAACCATACCTATAGCCACCCTATGACCACTACAGACTCAGACACCCATCTCCTTAAAGCCCCAGCTTCCTCTCCCTTTTAGCTTTCTCGGACTCACCTTCAAACACCCAGAACCCCTCAACTCCACCACCAGACTCCAACCCCTCTACCATTAGAAACACTGCCCTTAAACATTCCCTTCCCTTTCCAAGTTCGAACACACCGGAGACCCCAAATTCCCCATACCCCAAAAAACCATGACCCTAGTCTCTGTGCCTACACCTAAAGTCCTAGTACCCAAACTAGCCCCCTGCTCAACCTTACCCTGATTCCCAACTTCCACGAACCAAGGTCTTGGCACTAGTGCCCACACACGGCCATTCCTCTAAACACCTATAAACTTGCACCCGAAACCCTTCATCCTTCCCTTGATAGAACCTTACACAAACACCCAGTCATAACAAAAAATAGCACGTAAAAAATAATAATAAAACAAACATAGTCCTCATCGTAGGGAGGAACCCAGCACCAAAAAGGTACCTGCAAAAGCAAAGAAATACATTAGTTTTGGTTTATATATAAAAAAAAGAAAGAAAACAGAAAAATTTGAGCCCTGATCTACACCGATTGAGGTCATTTTGATGAAAAGAACATCAAATCTGGAAAGAGGACAAAGAAAAGAACTTTTGGGTGTTTTGGAGGCTTTTTCAATGCCGAAACCGAAGGCCGACGGTGACGAATGGTGGTCGACACGACCACTAGTGATTGATGCAACCATCAGTGACCAACTTTTAATAGTAGACCAACCTTCTGTTTTTTGGTTGAGAGAAAAAAAAAAGAATTTTTTTCTGAGGAAGAGGAAAAATGAGCTAAAAAAAAAGAGCCTTTTATATAGGAAGCAAAGAAGCAAAACAACGTTGTTTCGGGCATAGGAAAGATTCGCGCATGGACCCGAATCTGACTTAGGATCCATGCAAATCGACCCAGAAACCCACTTTAGCAACCTTTAACCGATTCCAAATGAACTGCCAGTGAACCGATTCAAACCGATTGTCGTAACGATTTTGTGTCTGCCGGACGAATTTGAAAAAAAGAAAAATATGGAGTTGCCACCAATCTTTGTTGGCTAGGTGCAATTGGCCACCTATTTAAATTTATCCTTTTAATAAAATTTTTAAATTAATTAAAATTTATTAACAAGATAATTTTATGGTCTGTGAAACAGTCTGGGTTCGTGAATCGGTTACATGTGGGAAATGATTAGCACCCCCACAATGCTCGTTTAAAAACAGTACCAATTAATTATGTGTTATCCATTGATTTTGATAAAAACAGTTTTATTTCGATGTTTGAAAAATAATTTTCTTGATTTTTTCATTTATAGGAAATTTATTTGTTATTTGATTTTATTTATTGTTTCTTTTTTTGTGCAAATTTTATTTGAGAAAAAGAAAAAGAAATTAGAACATTTTTATTGAAATAATTCTTAAAATGTTCTAATACATTGGTAACATTAGAAAAACATTTTCTCACCTAAAAATTTCTTAGGCATCGCTTCTCGGAATACCTTAGAATCTCATCCTTGGAGGCTCAAATTTACTTTTCATAAACTATGTCATACATGCAATGCAAAATGTTATCATGTTGATGCACACATTTTATTCTCTTTTTTAGAAATTTTGTTAATTATTTTATTTGATATTTTATTTTTAATTTAAATTTTTGAGAGAAAAAAAGAATTTTTATTATATTGAAGTTTTCTATAAATATTCCAATACACTGATAATATTTTAAAAAATCTTCTCACCTAGGGATTTCTTAAAGCATCTCTACTTAGAATACTTATAGAATCGCATCATCGGATAAAATTTTTTTTCTCATATTTATTACTTTATTTTAGTTTTTTTTTATAAATTAGTTAATTTTATCTATTATTAATAAAAAAGAAAAATTTTTATTGTATTGAAAACTTTTTATAAATACTTCAATACACTAGTAGTATTTAAAAAAAATCTTTCACCTAGAGATTTTGTAAGTATCGCTACTCGGAGTACTTTTAAATCTCATTGTCGGATAAAAATTTTTTTTTTACACTTTAAATTATAATTTTTTATTAATTAATTTTTTATCAATTATTGTATATTTTTCTTTATTCTTGTTCATTAAAATTTTGATAAGTTTATGTTTAGTCATTATTTTAAATTAATTAAATTAAAATTATTTTATATTTTCTACCATTTATTTTGTTTTATATGAAAAATTTATACAAAAATAAAATAAAATAACAGAAAAACCATAAATTAAATAATAGAAATATATAAAAAATTGAGCAAAAAAATAAAAAAATAAAAAGTTACGATAAAATACCAAAAATGTCCCTAGTCAACACTGGTCAAAGATTCAAAACGGCTCAGTTGGCTCGGTCAACCAGCTTGGACTTATAGTCAATGGCTTAATCGGCTTGCCTTGGGTATATGGCTCAGCTCTGTTCCTAGCTAGGCTTGGTGGCTTGGCTACCACTTAATCAAAACGACGTCGTTTTGATTTCACTATAAATAGCCCCCTAAACACCCCCATTCCTTCATTTTTTTTCCTTTCTTCTTTTTCTCTCTTCTTTCTTTCCCTCTCATTCAGAATTCTTCTTCTTTCTCCTTCTCAGTTTTTGACAATCCTATTGTTGCTCCTGCCGGCAGTCACCGATGTCGTTGTCAGCCATTGTTGAGTGTGTCAGAAAAATTCTTAAAAAACACTTAAAAAATTATTTTCGACCCCCTAAACTCAAATCCAACCTCCGTTTTGAGAGAAATGACCTCGAACGACATAGATCGAGGCCTAAAGTTTCGATCAGAATGAAAAAAAAATTTCTTTTGTGTTTTTGGCGCTGAAATCCCCGTTACTAGGGTTTTTTTTTTTTTTTTGGGTTTGTGTTGTGTTTTTGGTTTGGTTTTATTGGCTTTTTAACAAAGTTTTTTTTTTTTAGCTGGTTTTTTGTTTTTCAACATTTTTTTTTTGCAGAGGTTTTCCTCCATCTTTTTTTTAAAAATCCCTCATTGTTATGAGTTTCGTGGCTCTATTTATAAAGCAAAAACAAGATTAAAATTCCAGAAAGCCTGGGATTTGTGGGATTGTGGTTGGTGACTGTTAGGATGGTTGTCAGTGGCTGTCAAGCGGTTGTTGGTGGCTATCAGGTGGCTACCAGAAAAGTTGCCATAAAAGAAAAAGCAAAAGAAAAATAAAAATAAAAAGAAAAAGAAAATAATAAAATAAAATAAAACAAAATAAGTGTCCTCACCGATCTGAACTGTCAAACCGTCGAATCGATTAGACCGACGTTGATCAGATCGTTAACCGGTCCAGTTCAGGTATTTTTTATTTTTTTTAAATTTTCTAATTTTTTATATTATTATTTTTGTTATTTTAAGCTTTATTATTAATATTTGTGCATGAAAAAATTTTGAAATTTATTAGAATAAATATTTGATTGTTTTTAATAATAATAAAAATGAAAACAAAGTAGGATAATAACTAAAAATTAAAAATTAAAAATGCTAATAATAATAATGATAATAATAATAATAATAATAATAATAGAATAATTTTTCTTTTATTTTCCCTGCCTAGATGTTGGAGGGAGTAAAAATCTCAAACCCTAAAATATAATTCCACCTAGATGTTGGGAAATTATATATAAAAAAATTAAAAAAATAATAAAACAACAACAACAACAATAACAACAACAACAACAACAACAACAATAATAATAATAATAATAATAAATTGAAAATAACATTAATAAGTTTTTATAAAAATAAAATATATGAAAAAAATTTTATTAATTTTCAGAAATCATAAAAAATTTAACTTGCTCTGAAAGTCTGCCTAGATATTGATAATTTTTAGAGATGTTTATGTTTTTTTAAAATTAAAAAATCCAAACCCTAAATTTCACAACCCTAAAACTGAAACCCTAATCCCCAAATCCTAAATCAAAATCCTAAACTTTTCAAACCCTAAAATTCAAGCCCTAAAACCCTTAAAACTCAAACTGAAGCCCTAAAATTTGAATCCTCAAAATCTAAAACCCTAACCTTTAAAACTTCGACCTATACTCAAAACCATTTCAAAATTTTAAGGATATATGCAAAAATCTCAAGTGGAGTAATTTGTTCTCGAATGCCTCATAGATGATGGGGTATTTAAAGAAATCTTATTCCTTTAAGTTTTTCTCATGAGTCCTTAATTCACTTTAACAATGGGGTTAATAACTGATAAGTTTAATAAAAAAAAGTATAATAATAAAATGGGATCTTAAATATGAATAGTCACACCTAAATTCCGCCTAGATGTTGGAAAGTCAAGGTGGTCTTATTATATTTAAAAATCCAATTTCAAATTTGCATTTCATTATCATACACAACATTTATTGGATTACATGCATTTATTTGTTACTGTTTGCACTTGTTTGCATTTTCTTTTTCTTTAATTGTTACTTGCTATATGATAATACCATCATTTACTTTTTCGCACAAAATGTTTTTTTAATTTACTTACTTTTAAAATTATGATATTATAAAATAAAACAAAAATAACATTCCAAAGGAAATAATTCTTGATACTCTGCCTAGATGTTGGAGAGTCACCAACAATCATCTCTTGCAATAAGTGTTATTTTTATTTTAAGGAGTATTTTGTTTAATCTTAAATGAAAAAAGTTATTTTAAATTCTGCCTAGATGTTGGAGAATTTAAAGATAATTCCTTAACTTAAAGATTTCCTCGATATTCCTCAATAAAGGATTTTGATAAAATTAATTTTCTTTCTTTTTAAAATAACAAAAAGGGAATTATTATTAAATTTCAAATCAAAACCATTTCATCCAACATTGAAAATAGTGCATAATTAATTGGTACCAATTTATAGGAGTTGTGAGGGTGCTAATCCTACCCCATACATAACCGACTCCTGGATCCTACTTGGTTTTTGGAGACCAAAATTTATCTTTTTGATAAATTTTAAACATGCTTTTATAGTTTTATTAAAAATATAAACTTTTGAGTGACCAATCACACCCTAAAAAAAGATTGGTGGCGACTCTTTCCAATTTTCTCGATTTTAAAACTCTTTTAGTCGAGCAGTCCCAAAATTGTTATGACAGGCATAAAGCCAAGTGCTTTGTCAGACATAAATTAAACTTAGATTCTATATAAATAGTAGCCGACTATTAGCTTAGAGCAATTGATTGCTATGTCTAAAAAGTGAGTGGACTGGTTCCAAACCCTAATCCAATCGACTGCCAGTAAATGATAGTCTTATGGGAATTTATCTATGCTAAATGCATTTAATTGCTATTAAAGATGGGTTGACTACTCTACAGGAGACCAAATGTGAAACCTTTCTGAAAATTGAAAGGAGTCATCTATTCACTTGGAGAATGCATTTTATATGAAGAAATGAGTCGACTATTTTATAGAAGAGTCGACTACCTTACTACGAAAGCATTTCAAAATTTGAAAAGACAGAGAAGCAATTGATTGCTTTCT